GGGGGGGGGGGGGGGGGGGGGGGGGGGGGGGGGGGGGGGGGGGGGGGGGGGGGGGGGGGGGGGGGGGGGGGGGGAGGTTACGTGTTTTTATTACGTTAAAAAGATCGATATATAGGCATATTTATATATATTCTTAGCACGCGACAACGCTCTCTTTATTTTTCAAACAAAAAAACTAGTCTAATTAATTAATTAGAATAAAAAAAGTAGTTTTTACGTTTTGATTTGATATGTAAGACATCAATAGCTATAGAAAGCGTCGCTAAAATTTGACAAACTTTAAAATCCTAAGATAATTTTTACTGAACAAACGTACGTACGTATAATACAGTCAATTCTATAACGAACTGACGGTTCTGTTAGTAAAAAAAAGTTCGTTATGTAGAACCACTGTTTCCTAGAGCCCGCTGTTCTTTCTATAACGAACTAATATAAATTTAAGGTTCGTTATAGAAAGAGTTCGTTATAAATAGAGAGTCGATTGTATTCTTAAACCTGTATAAACAATTATTCCCTCTCCCCACTCTTAACAACGCATTATTGCGTGTTGAAAATTGACAGTGATTATGACGATAAGAATTACAGATTTCTCATCTGACCATACATGCATGTGTCATGCATCAAGTAAAAATCGATAAGAATTTTGTGATACAACGAATCTGTGAAGTTGAAGATCACTTCAAATTACACTCCTTACATTTTTACTTATCTTTCGACAAATGAGTTTTTTTTTAGATTATGTGTATATCATTGGTTGTCTAAAGTGTATTATCCTGCTATTATTACAATACCTCTTAATCTTAACAAAAAGTTCTTTGTGTATATAAATATGAAGTTATAGAGAAAGTTTCGCCCTACATTAAAGCCATAGTTAGATTCCTCGACCCGGGAAACCGACCACGAAGTGACGTTTCGACGAGTAGTATTAAATTGACATACCAAAATATTATTGTTTCTTCATTCTTTGATTTCCAAAACTTGTAATACACAACAAATCTTAAGTTTTTTTGACATCAATAAACAATGTCTAATCAAATTGACCGCAACATTTATGAGCAACAATATCAACATGTTTCACTTTCGACATTATTTTCGAATCTTCGAGATTCATCAGATAATAACGACGTAAATCGACCTTATAGATGCACTATTTGTACACGAGGTTTTATCCGACAAGAACATTTAAATAGGCATATGCGTACACATACGGGTGAGAGACCGTTTATTTGTAAAACTTGTCAAAAGCGCTTTTCGCGATCTGATGCATTAACGCGACATAAAAAAACTCACGCGCAACAATTTAAAAGGAAAGACCAGCAGCATATTCATCATCATTCTAATGGCAATAATACTGCCACTACTACATCTTCTTCGCTTGGCAATAATAACACGCCCGCTTATACTATTATCTTCACCGAATCGACCACCTTCATCAACTCGATCACCAATTCACAACCTTATGCTTGCCCGCTTAATAATGGTTGCAAGAAAACTTTCAAGTACTCTGGGCACTTAGTACGTCATATTAGTACTTGCACCTCAAAAGAAACTTAAAAGTGGAGGTGACGATGCATCATCAATCACCAATACAAACTAGTTTAATTAATTAAAAAAATTATTTGGAATTTTGCAACTTTTACTAGAAAAAATATTTATGTTAATTCATAGTTTAATTTTTAAATTGACCAATTATTTTAGCATTTAAAATAAATAACGGAACTTTTTATATTTTTTAATAGATTGATTTTAATTACAAAAGAAATGAAAAGATGCTAATTATTCATTAATAAAAAATTGTAACAATTCTATTTAGAAAAAATATTCAATTACAATCACAATTCGGTATAATGATATCGATACGTATATCGATATTGGTAATTATCGTTAATTAAACTACGTATCGGTATTAATATTAACATTAACGTTTTTTTTAATATGAGATTGAAGTACATATATATAGTTATACTCGTTGGTTTAAAAGATGGTTGCCTGAACGGTTTGGCCATTAGTTGCGGCATTATAAAATGATGCAACGTAGTTACGCGCGTATCTGTTTTTTTTGAAAAAAAAAAGGTACAATATATGGTCACGTGTATGTGACATATTCACATGAGCGAAAAAATCTGCTGGTTATGTTGTGGAAAATTTTATTAATTGCAAATATTAGGCTAGTCAATTTCGAAATGTCTACTATTGTCGTTTTCGTTATCACTAACATTAAAATTCCAGCATTTAGCTATCAATGTCATTTCCATATTAGCTTCTAAGGAGGTCTAAATTAAAGTGCCGTATAAAATGTTATCATATATCAAAAATAGCATAGTGGCATAATCAGAAAATTTTCAGTATTTAGAATGATTATACTTCCTGAAATTCATAATACAGTGGGTGATCAAAAAGGTACAAACCATTAAATTTGACAACTCAAAAACAGAATTAGAAGCATTTAAACTTTATTATTTGTTTACAAGTTTTACTAATACTAAACTTTGTATGATATCCATTTGCAGCAATAACCGTGGCAATTCAATCGGGCATACTATACATGAGCTTTCGATAGTATTCGGGTGCAAAATCCTTCTAAAGGAGATCGTCGGCGAACAGCGTCTTTCATTAACATTCTATGGGTTCAAATCGTGGACTTTGTGGAGGCCAAAATATACGTCTTGATTTTAGAAGCTTTGCAATCGGTTGTTGCAACCTTTAACCTTGCATTGTTCTTCTGAAATACCATCACCACATGGGAAAAACTTTCCTTTTCTATTTTGAGTATCTAAAACTCAAAAATAGCTACCACAAAATGCAAAAATAATTCTGGCCGGACCTTTTTGATCGCTCACTGTAGTTAAATATCTGAATATCTTTTCAGACAACCAATACATTTCTCGCACATGTTTTGTTTAATATATTTTTCACTATTGTATTACTACTATTTTTCGATTATCTTTAAGCTTCATTGGTGATCCATCTATGAATCAGAGAACTTGCTGTGGAAACCCGAATTCAGTAAGTAAACTTTTATACAAGCCAGCAAAAAATAATATATTTATAATTTTAAAAAAATTGTGTTGTGAAATGATTAACAATTTTAGTGGCTCGAGCACTAACACTAAATATCAGGTAAATCCAAACTACGAAAATAAGTAAACGTTATCTGTTATAGCATAGAGGTGCATCGTTATCGTAATTTGTGAATTTGAATTAGACTGAGAAAATTGACTTTCATCTTAAATTTAATGTGCGCAATGAGTATAACTTGATAATAAATTCTTTACGCTTACTATTGCGGCAATACATGTTATACGCATATACTATCGCTATTTTATCACAAGTTCTAGAATTGACTGGAATCTAATAGTCGTAAAAACCTTTTCTGATTGTTGCTTTGTTTTTTGTATTTTTTTAGGCCTTGTTTTAGATGACTTATATGATTCTTTGATACATTTTGACTTAATGTTTTCTTTTATTTCGAGGTCGAGTATTATGTTCTTTTGAAGACAATACGTATCAAAAAAATCGTTTTTAGTTAAGAGATTGATTAATTCTCGGGTTTGAACAAGAGTTTGATTTTTATAAATTTTGATTTTCAAACCACAAATGGAAAATTTACGTGATTTTAGGAACTAATAATGTGAATAACAATGCAATTTTGAAAGCATTCTTAGGAAATTAATGAGACACTTGTTTTTGAAACTATAACATTATTTGACTGGTTTTTACAAAACCCTAACCCTAATCCTAATCCGGCTGACTCAGCCCGCCCACCAGCCCGACCATTTGGACTGAGGTTGGCCTGTATCTCTAGCTGGGAATGTTTGCTGGACCGGTCGAATCAACAAATTTACGGAGTTCTTTCTTACATGAATCCAGATGTGTTAAATGGGAAGCCACACAATAAAGCAGCAGATATTTACAGTTTCGGAATGATTGGGTACGAATTGTAACGGGTGAACCTTGTATATGATATCTATAAAGGAATACGACCTAAGATGCCAGCCAATTTTCCCAGATGGTGCAAATTTATCATTGAAAAATGTAGGAATCCTATTCCAGAAACAGAACAGCTGCTGAGTAACTAATTAATTGATGTCTTTGTAAACAAAGAACAATTGAATATTGATTTTTGTTGTGAAATATTTGTCGTTTGAAAGTAAAAATAAAATCTTGTGCGGCAAATCCTGAAAAATATTATCAATTGGTGAGACACGAAATTATGATTCGGATACATTTGATGAGAGAATATCATTTATTAATAATGTCTTAACAATAAGTTGATGATGAATTATGGATATCGATGATATAGTGGGTTCCACTGAGAATCATTATAAGCATATGATGTTGGAAGAGGGATGATTAAACTTAAGTAAAGAGAATGAATTATAAATATTAGCAAAGATT